GGTGACGATATAATTTCATCTATTTGTTAACAATTTATCGTCAGTTATATAATAATTTACATTTTAAATTATAGCTATACTTTTAAAACATTGATTATAATCAATTATTTGAACGAAAATTATAAGCTAAATCATCTTTTTTTTTTTGGTTAAAATACGTTGCACAAATCAGAGAAAATTATTGCCATATCTATAACACATTCTGTTTTTGAAACAGAGTTTCAAGTGCTGTTGCTTTTGTGTATTAAACAGTGTTGTTTTTGTGTATTAAAAATACCATTTCGGGGAAAATAACATTTAAGCGATCTTTAAAATAATATTGCATAGCATATTTTCTATACACAGAGCATTTATAATACAACCTGTTTAATCATTCAATATGTATTGTAGCGATTCCTTATCATTACTTCCATTTTTGTGCAAATTTGTTCCTTCAAATCAACATTAAATACTTCAATTGAATTTATTATAATCAGAAACTTCAAACATAATGTTCATAATAATACTTTCGAGTCCAACTAATGTTTCGCAACTTCATAATTTTTAATGAATAACACTGATACATTAGCATGTATCTGCACACTTTGCATTATTAAAACATTAGTTTTTTTTGTATATTTAATGAAATAAATTTATTGTATCTTAACATTTCAATAACATTTGTTTTACTAGTTGCCGCATAATATATGCATTATGAAGACCTTTTGAATGAACATGGTAAAAGCATTTTGATCAAAACAGCTGATTGGTATTATGACATATGCTTTTATAACAAGACGAACTTTTCCTTTCATAACAATATTATAATGGTGATCATTTTACAGATAATACATAACATAATACAGTACTATATTGTACAATTTCAATTCTGGTACGATATTTTTTTCTTTGTTATTGTAGTATTACATAAAATAAATTGTGCTGTATTTAATTGTGAAAATTTTAACAACTTAACATATACAAGCATTGTAAGGCATATATGGTTATTATGCTTGTAATATCGAATTTTTTAACAGTTTCGGTGTTTAAGACCGTAACTTTGAAATAGACAATCAGATTATGAATTTAATTTATGCTAATTTCTGTTGTTCAATCAAATATAACCTTTTTGAGAAGAAAGGAAAGTTTGCAACATGTTTGCTAGAATTTATACAAATGATTGTACAATCTATTATGCACAGTTTTTATTGAGCTAATATCAGGGTACATACATCCCTCCAGGTACTTTAATGTACTAAAAAAATATTATTTTTGGGTAAATATTTGGTTCACTCTTGGAAATAAACCGACTACAATTACCTTTACATTGAAAATCAGGATTGTATTGACGTTCTAAAAAACGCAAAACACTGTATTTCATGTAAGCAAACAATACTACTTTGTACGCACCTGTTTTATAAGTACCTGGAGTTATAAAAGTATGTGTTATGTAAATGAAGATATTTAAAATACAGGAAAATAGACGTATTTTTTGCGATTAAACCTATTTGCCGAGCATGTTTATGTCGATATTATAATACACATAAGGGAAATAGTCGTTTTGGCCAAAACCTAATCCTGGTATATCGACGTTCTGTTTGAACAAACCAATACGAAAAGAATATTAAGTAGTGCACTACAAAAGATAATTTTCATAAAAAAAATTAGCAAAAAATAAAATAAGCTAATTTAAAATAGTAATTTATTATTAAGATGTTGTAACTTACATCTTGATTTCCCTGTGCAGCAGAAGATGCTGTAGCAGAGGAATCTAAGTGAGCATAAAGCTGATTAAGAACTTCGCGTAATCGCCTTGCACACCTTCTATGAGGATGTAACAGAATTGCTTGAAAATTCACCGGCAATCCGTACCTAAAGAAGTTATGATTTTAATTAATATATATGAATGTACGTAAACTTTCTAATATCAAATATTATTTATTGTTACCTTAAAACAGATTCTACAAATACACGTAAAGCTTTAACGTGAATCCATGCACAGAAACATTCACTGAAGTTAACTTTTAACCAACGTACAATATTGGCAAATTGTTTTTTTTTATCAGTTGCCAGCTTTGTTATCTCATTTTTTCCTACAATATATTTTAGTTAATTCCATGACAGTAAATAAAAATCAATTTGTATATAAATTAAAAAAAAAAAATAACTAGTATAAGTGGCAATAAAAGGTCATATTAAAATCTTAATTACCTGCTGCTAATTCTTCTTCATTGTATATGAAATCACGAACAATGAATTTTTTTTCACGAGCGTGTAATTTAAATTCTTCAATGACTTTTTTAAACAAAGTGACAGTAAATAATCCATATTCAGAATCCTCGGTAATAAGTTGTGTGCTACGTGGTACTATCATATTTGTTAATTTTTCATATACACTGTACCATTCTTGAACACTAGCTCTGAAAATTTTATATAAACAAAGTATATCATTAATTATGTAATTAATAATTATAAAACAAAAGTTTTAAAAACACTAAAGAAATTTACCTTGGCACAATAACAAGTATTTGAGTAACTATTGAAGAACATAAGTCCTTTCACAATTAAATTCAAGAAAATTATAAAATGTTACATACATGAAGATTTTATTCCATTTTAATAATAAACTTACGTTTGTTTCTTTTCAAGATTTTGTAAACTTCCTTTCAAATTATTGTATATTGCAGATTTAGTTTTAAGGTCTGCATCAATCTGACCCACTTGTTTACTGATAATGTCAGCAATATTTCTCAATGATTGCTTGATGGGATATTTTGCCATATCCCACTGGAATCGAGTTATATATGATGGTAGATCACCTAGTAAATTTAAAATATTAGTGTAATTGTCCTGTGGATTAACCACTTTCATTTTCTATATAAATATTCAAACAGAGCTCATAAAATTTTGAAAGTATGGAGTCATAAGTAACATGCAATGTTTAAATCACATGTAGTATTCTAAGTGCTTGAGTGTGCTTACAAATGCAGTACTGAATATATTTTTAATGATTTAATAAAGTTTATAAGCTGAAAATGATAAAGCTCTGTTGAATTGTTAATGTATTGTACAAATACAGGAATGTACTATATTTTCAATGTAAACTGCATACTCTTCTAAATAGTGATGCAATTTCTATATTCTTCTTTTTCCAAATACATTTTTAGATTTATAAACGAAATGTGTTTACAAAATTCTGAATATTTTCTTAAAAAAATAAAAAAAGGAGAAACATAAGTGTATTCATAATTTTGAGTTTTATGGACCTGTATGTGCGCAATACAGTTATGCATATGAATACATATCTAATTAATTTAAATTTTAGCTGAACCACAATTAAAATAATTCTCAGATTGACTCTGTGATAAGGAGAGTATTCACAATAAATAATGAGATAACAGAGAAAGACTGTTTCTACTAAACTCATTTTTTGATTCTAGTACGCTCCTTACTTATTATTAGCATTACAAAAATAAGCGAGACATTAACAAAAATACAGCATGCAAACATTAATGTATAGAAGCACTTTATATTATCAATTTTTTTTTTTTTCATTGCGAGATTCATTTTATTTAAGTAGAATTAATCATTCTTTTAATAGGTATATTTTTTAATTAGATGTTAGCTCAAGTTAATTAACTTATTTATATATTTGTAATGACAAAGAATTACTCGTAAATCACGTTTGAATGAATTAAGCAGTTCTAGCTAGTCCCTTTAACCGAATATTTAGTATAAATGTATACCAGAATTATTTCAAAGAATCAAAATATATTCCTTTTTATTGTCAATTAAAAAAGATTTTTTTATAAAATATTCATTCAAACAAAATTTATGATAACTCCGTAACTACAATGAATTTTGAACTACATTATTATGTTCTTTCATGAATTTGTCGATTGATAGTTCTGGATGAATAAGCACGCACGCACGCATGCACGCAACGCATGTACACTTGGTTTATTAGAATATGAATGTAATGAATACTACAAAATATAATGATCATATATAAAATGGATTCTTTGCATCTTTTCAAATAGTAATCTCAAATATCATGTGTGTCCTGTGTATATTAGTGACCTAAATGATATAGCATGAGCAATAGTAACACAGACACAATATACAGCTAAGCTAAAATATTTAAGCGCTTCATGCTAACTGTTTTTAATGAGGTACTTTATAAAAGTTGATCAGTAGGATGTTTATGTGATATGGGTAACTTGTAGTGTTGAAGGGTATTGAGCACCATACTGTCTTCAAAATCTATCTGATCATGCGAAACAGTATTTTATAAGTCCATGTACCGATCGATAAGTGTTTTAAAATTTTAGTTAATCGTGTCTCATCTGTAATCTGTGCTAACGTCCATAATACATATGTATACATGTATTATAGTTTGTGCAGTATTGTCTTTCTATGAAAATTATAGAAAGTAACGGTTAAAAAGCATGTGAAAGCTAGGTATAGAAAAAAATGCTAAAAAATATATCGAAAGAAATAAAATCGTACAAGATAGTGTTACTGTATTTAGATGTAGCATATCTCTTACAATTGTTCTTAAACCATACTTTCGGTTGTATTTATGGATGTTACGAATTTTAAATCCATAAATACTTCTGATTTTCGTAATAAATTTTAATTTTAATATTTTATTTAAATTACTTAAATAACTTAGTGTAATGCTAAAATAATTGCATCAGGCTAACTTATTATACTAACACATTCTAATTTTATTAAAGAATCGTATACGAGTGATCTCTAGTAGATTTAAGACTTATTTAAACATGTATCTTCTAAAAATAATATATAACAAAAAGTGTTATACATAGGAAAATTAAAACAAAGTATGGTATAAGAAAACATAAAATCAAAAATTATAAAAAGAAGCAATTAAAATGTAAAAAACAAAAAGGATTGATAATGATAAAGGTAATACACTATGTGTTCATTCATTCGTCCACAGCACCTGGAACAGTTGATTGAATGATTTCCAAAAAATATTAATCAAATAGAACACTTTCATGTCATCATAAGTGATTTTTTTAAAAAGTTGAACAATTACTTAATGTATCTTGTAGTTTGTACAAAACTGTGAAGTATTTAATCACCACTAGGACGCAGGAGTGAAAAAGAACTAGCTAAGAACTTAAAACATACTAGAGCATTTCCCGAAAAATAAACTTTGAGAATGTACGCACATTTGTTGCAATTAAAATGTGCTAGAACATGGGCAGCTGTCTTTGTTATCTTCCAATTTTTTAAATTCCTGCGTGCACAAGAAATCAAATAATGTTGTAATATCACTGAGAAAATTATTGCGATAGAACGTAAAATATTTGATATACTAGGTTTTTATATATTTTGAATCACAAGCTAAGTAAACTAAGCCAAATATTTTTCCTTTTGGTACTGTCTCACTTCGTGTATGCTGTAAGCACTGGAGAGAGATTGTCATGACTTTTGTAGGGTGTTCTTTTATTTTCGATAAATTATTAAAATATACATACAAATATATAACGTATATTCAATAGTTACTAATACAAATGAAATTGTGTCTTCAGAACAATGCAAATTCAATTATAACAAAGTGTACAAAATTTAATTACAGTGACAAAATGAAAAAAAATATATAATAAGCAATGCTTTCTCATTTGACATAGCACATTAACATTTATGAAGACTTTAAATAATTTCTTACATTGGAGGCAAGATTTGGCATAAAATATTTCAGCATTACAAACATTGCATATGTAGTGCAGTTGTGCAGAATTGACACTGAAGGAAATGCGCACTAGGATCATAAAGACGCTATCAGTATATATACTGACTGGGAAGAACTGAAACAAGAGTGACGTGAATTTTAATTATATTCTTTTCTTTCCCTTCTAAGCAGAAGCTGCATGCGAATATCACTGTTTAAAAATTTCAAATACTATGAAATGACAACCTCTCTCTCTCTCTTTCTTTCTCTCCTATATCTACCTCCAAAGGAGATAAGACAAGACAAGAATCGGTCGCTAAACGGGCGAATCACGAGGTGCACAGGAAAATAGGTTTGAACAAGTCTCGCAGCTATGTTAGGAAAGGTTCGACGGGTTGACCTGGCGGTGATAGGACGGGTACCTGGATTGGGCAAATTGCCGCTATGGTCTTGGTCTTGGTCGTTGTTTTGGTCCGCATCGTCTTCGTCGTCGTCATTGCCGAGTGATTTGAGATTGGAGGTAGACCGATCTGCTTTCTCAGTAGTCCGATGACGCGACGCCGACTGCCATCTGGTCTCTCCTTCACTGCTACAGTTTGATGAAAGGGAAAGACTCGGACTTGTAGGAGTAGGACTAGGAATAGGTGTGGAAGAAGTAGAAGCGGCGCACCAATGCGCATGGTAGCATGAATATGCCGATAAAGGATCATTTGATGACCGGACATCACAGATGCCTTGAGGACTGTGTGATTTTTTTTCGAAATCAGAGGGATGATTGTGATGTTTGTGACTATGATGATGCTCGTGATGATGATGATGACGCTGGTGATGATGCTGACCTAAACAGGCGGCCGGGTCTGGTTCACATTTCTCCGATTCCCTCCACTGCTTGTGGTGTTCCTTTGAAGTCTTGTGTGATGGGGTGACGGGGGTGTTTGGCGGGGTGTCCGGGCCCCCTTCGGGGCTCCAGCTCTCCCCATCCATTGACGTTTGACCTATCCATTACAGCCCAGTCCCAATCTCCGCGCGACTTTCTTACGTCTCGTTCAACTATTATTGCGTCCTACGCAAATGCCTAACGACAATGCTGTCGAAACTCAATCAAAATAACTCAAAAAAATTCACGGAGTATTTAGCGCATAGAAATCTTTGTATCATAATGAAGAACTTTTAATTCCGAAAATATACTCTACAAAATGTAAACTTTTCTACATTATAACGAAACATTACCCTTTACAATTTAACATCTAATAAGTGCAAATATTACAAGTATTACAATTATTTTTATCCTGTCTTTAAAAAAAAAAAAAAAAAACTATTTACACTTAAAAAGATTATATCTATAAAAAAATATGCACTCCATAATTATATTATTCCAATGATAATAAGATAATTGAATTACAGTTAAAAATTCACTACTGATTTTTATTCTTTTTCTTACAAGGAATTTAAATTAAAGTAGTTGCCACATATACCTTGAAGTAAATTTTTCGTTAAATACTCCGATTTGGCAAAAGCAATAACGAAAAATGAAAGAAAGGAAAAATAAATGTAAAACAATACATAATAAAAATGAACAGAAAAACTAAAAATCGTATGAGCAAATGATATGCAGTGGTATAAACTTAAATTGCAAATGATTAATAATGCCAAGGGGTAATAAATAAGAGAACTGAATAAAAAGGGAAAGAATCCTTATAATAACTAATTGGAGCTTGGTGACCACAGTAACCCAAGCAACTCCTTGCGTCCTTTGTAAATGTTTAATAAGTGTGGTCTATGTCTAGATTTCTGTATATGCAAAATATTTCTTCTATCTCAATACACGATGATACTGCATGTTTGTGTATTACAATTTTTTGTAGCTTTATACATTTTTGATGGTGCACATGTATGAGCATTTGTTAATAAAATAATAAGGTAGGGAAATAGGGTTAATGTGGTCAAAATTAAATAAAGCAAGCCAAGCAACACCACAAATATGAGAAATTATTTGTAGTAAGTAATAAATTAAATAAATTCTAACCCAATTGTAGTAATAAGCATTCTACAGACATATAAATTATATGCCAGTATATGATGTGTACCACTGTATTTGGTATATAAAATAAGATCTTCAATTTTTGAAATGATATAAAGGACTAAAAACATTTACACACTTGTGCAAAATCATACTGATTCTAACAGATTCATACAGCAACATTAGTTCATAAAAATAAAAATATGCAAATTTTTTGTTTACAGATAATTATACATGTTATTTATTTTTTTGTGAGGTAAAAGCTTTTATACTAAGAATAAACATATCCTAGTAAGAATTCTATTATAGTAGATTATATGATAATCTTTTATAGTATAGAATCATTTAACTAAATATATTATCTTTAATAAAAGAATATAAAGCATACATATGTCTTAAACAGATCATTTATTTCAAAATTTATGGTACACATCATATTTAAACTTGTTAGTTACTATGTGCTATAGCCACAAGTTTTTGCCTCTATATTATTCCTAACAAAAAAAAAAAAAAAACATCTACCAGGACAATTTGTAAAAAATAATATTGTTGTTATATTATTATTAGCGTACACAGACAAAATTTTGTTTTTATCTATCAATCTATTAGTATAGGGTACTGAGGAGAATAAGGATCAAAGACTCTATTCGTGCTATTATTGTTTTCAATGAATAAATTAAAATCTTAAGAAAACAACTGATACATGTTTAAGATCTTCATTAAAGAAAAAATCTAAGTTGTGTGCATGTTTTGTGTTGTGTATAGTATTCACTGATGTTTTTGCCAACCAATATTATTTTATTATTAAAACATCATACACAAAAAATCGATCGATACCTGTTTGCAAGGGTCCAAAAAAACAATAGTGTCAAGTAATAATTTAATAACTTTTTAATTTTGGTCATTTTATTCAACAAAATATAATGTTAAATAAAAAGTTGTTGGACAATTTTGGACCCCTGAATTTTTCAATGATCTATCCTCTTCTATTAGAAGATAGATAAAAATTTAAATTAAAGAGCAAATTCTAAAAATACAAGCACAACAACATTGTACTCACTATTGTTAGCCAAAAGATTTTCAAGGAACTTGTCTTTCCGATTTTCTAATACTTCTGCCAAATATGTTGCCACCTTGCGGGTTACTTGTTCAACATAAGTGTCAAGCTTTCCTAGGTCATCTGATAAACCCACCAATTGGTCTAATGTTCCCACCTTCAAATCTGGGATATGGAATTTGTAATTGACTGACAGAGAATGTTGTACTGTTGTCAAAGTATTCATGGTTTCCCATGTCTGCTGACATGTTTTATCTCCTGGTGCAGATATTAACCAGTATTCTGTCATTTTGAATAATGTTCCAATGTAAATGTCTTACTGTATCTGAAACATTGTATTGTATTATACAAATCATATTATGTATTTCAACATTATGCAATTATATTTTGCAACAGTTATTCACATGTATTAGTCTTTCTATTATAAATTATATTATTACATTTTTTATAGATTGAATGTATGAACATTAAGTAATTCTTTATATATCTGTAAATATTTGTATAAAAATATTGAAACAGTATTTTATGTAATTATATTATAACTATATTATTTATTTCGACTGCTTAAGTGATGTGTTAAATTGAAAATAACTACGAAAAAAAAATACTTTTGTCAACAACCACCTGCTTCTATATCAAACGTTACTGATCTACTAATTTGACATATAATCCTATGATCCTAAAAGCATCACCTATTGATTCGTTGGTTAGTCGAGCATACAATAGTAATTGGTTGTACAAGATTGAACATTACAAAGAATTTTAAAAAATGAATAGAGTTGTAAAAATTAAATAAAAGAAGGGGGTGTGGCACGACGTATTTCTTCAACTGTGGTATTATGTAATTAGGCGCGCTTTCCACGTGACATATACTAAGTGTAAGAATGGCGCGCCGAACTTACAGAGCGATCAATATAGTGAAATGACAAGTGTGCACAAAATTGCATTCGAAAAAGAGTGTCCTTGAATTAAGGCTGGCCATATGTATACTTAAATACGAAACTGGGTTTATTATTGGAATGACTTAATGGCGTCCATTAATAAATTATAAAATCGATAACACAATGAATCCCTTCATTCAAAAAAAAATGCGTCACGAATTAAATTGCGAACAATCTGGAAGTTAAATATCAATCAATATAACAACCATACGATACGTCATGTTGAGTGTTACGAAAGGTGGTATTATGACTTTTTGACAGTACGTTTTAACACCCTTTAATCGTAAAACATGGGTTAAAAGCACTTTTCATTATACTACAATTTGTTCGTCATTGATCCATTTTCGATAAGAAATAAACTATTTCTACTTACTGGATATCTCGAATTCCGCTTTTATGCGCAGAATGCGACAGATGCTTGAATTTCTCCAGAAATTCAAAACATTCGTTGTTCTAATCACTCGTCGTCAGAACCATCAGAAACCATTGTGACCTCACGTGATGACAATTGTGTGCTGCTGCCTTACGACCCGCCCGGCAACTAAATCATAAACTAAAACGGAGTATCATCAGCTGACTCGAAACCTGCATAATCGGTATTGTTACCAATCTACCAAAAAAGTTTGATTACAACCTTTAATTAATATTCTCAATTAATTTCAAATTGCTTTATGATAATACTTTTCATATATAGTTTTTATATATTACAAAAAGTAATTGTCGAGAATATATATTCTTTGATGTTTATTGAAATTATATTTATTATAGAATCAATTTTGTTGTATGTGAAAAGTTGGTAGAACTGTAATACACTACACACCACCATTTATATAGCTGTTGCGTGGTCTAGCAGGGATTTTGCGAAAAGTATGATTTCGAAAGGATGAACCGAAAATCAATATTTATTTAATGAACGTCTCTAAGTAGTAATCATTGGAAGTGTTATTTAACAAGATTTTGTTCGTTGCTTTGATTGCATCACTTGACAATTTAAATTTGGCGCGTCTAAACTTTGCTATATGAAGTCATCTAACATAAAACTATGTTCACGTGATAGCGTCACATAGCACATACGTACCTTAAATACTGCTATAATTCGTAATATCGTTTGACGTAAATCGTGTTGGAATCAAATAGGTTGTAATTGTTCCTCGATTTTAGTTTGTAATATATTATGGGTTGCGATGGTGGAACTATTCCCCGTAGAGATGAACTCGTAAGAGTTAAGAAGAAACCAGAACAGGTAATTTTGTACTTATATTTATGTATGTTTTACATATTTCATATAAACATTAGTCTTTTTCATGTGTAATATTCGCTTTATAATAAAATTATGTACTATTGTAATTATTTGCAGAAAGACAAAGAAGCAGAATTAGCATTCAAGTGGAGACACTGTACAATAAAACAGTTACCATTACAACCACCAGTAGTTGGTTGTGCTTTAGGTCGTCTTTATAGTAAAGAATCTGTATTGGAAGGCCTTCTTGATCGAAGTACACTTCCAGAATCAGCACAACATATTAAAACCTTAAAAGATGTGAAAAATTTAAATTTAACATCAAATCCAGCATTTGAAGGTAATAAAGCTAAGAAAGGAGACTGTTATACAGATGAAGGAAAAAGTCCTTATATTTGTCCAATTATTGGATTAGAGATGAATGGTAAATATAAATTCTGCTTTTTATGGTCATGTGGTTGTGTAATGAGTGAAAGAGCACTTAAAGAAGTCAAAAGTAAAGTAAGTAACTATGTCACAAATATAAAAATAAAAAATATTTCATGCAGCTGAAAAAACATAATAATTTCAATATTCTAATGTTTTTCAGATATGTCATCAATGCCAACAACCTTTTACTGAAACAGATATGGTTATTATAAATGCAGAAGGGGATGATCTTAAACAAATGGAAAAAAACATGATAGTTCGAAAGGCAGTTCAAAAAAAATCTAAGAAGCAGAAACATAATGAAGACACTCAAACACAAGACATTAAGCAAGATGAAGCACCAAAGAAAAAAATGAAGAAGGAGGATAAAACTTCTGCTATGAAGATTAATAGCAATAGAACAGAAGCTGAAGATCCAGCATATAAAAAAGTTAAAGATAATTATAGTGTTGCTAAAGATCCCAAAGCATCAGAAGTTTTCAAAAGTATCTTCACTACTCATAAATCTGCAGCAGAACAAGATAGGGCACACTGGATTACATACAATCCATTTTACAATTAAAATATAATTTCAATTCATATTTGAAAAATAATTAATGTTATGTGTGTAGAATATACTATGTGCAGTGATAACTGTAATATACTGCAAACACTGAAACATTTCCATATCATTAAATAAATAGTTTTATATATAAAAACAGTTTTATTCTTTTTATAGGATTTCTTTATAATCTTATCTTATCAAGTAGTAACATTTTTGGACTAATATTATATTACTGTTTATTTATTTTGTAACAAAAGTGGATGCTATCATTATATAAAAATCTAATAATTATTATATATCACAAGTTAGTATTAATAGGAAATAAATTG